CGAAACGTCAGACGAATAAAAGTATTGTCCCAGCGATCGAGTCGTCTTCTTCACAAAGATCGCTCTCAGTCGCCGCTGAGATGGCTACCGCCAGGTTTGGACTTCGAATTCTGCTCCGCTCGGATTCAGACCTACGCTCCTCCGACTTATTCTTCACGCTTTCTTTACAAAATAAACTCTTTCTACCCACTTTGGCCCCTAATGACTTCTCTTTGCCTGAAAACCGGGCCTAAGGATCGTAGTGACAAGGGATTTCTCTATTAACCTTGATTCGTCGATAAGTTCGGCATCTTATCAGCTCGCTTCTGTCAATCGATTACTGTTAAGACTAGAATCAACAGGACACGAAAAAAGAAACCTGCATTAGTGAAGTGCATGTGCTAATTTCCAGAGGAGTAGTTACTTCCGTGTACAACGGTTTATTCTATTAAGAAATGGCACACCAACCGAAAGGAATAAAAGTATGCACTATTTAGACATTTTAAGTCTCTAACATACATTTGCTTCAGACCAGGCGCTAGCTCTCTCCTTCGGTGATGCCGTTGGACCGATGTAAACAAACAGACCAGAGGGTGCGTTGATGAAGGTCACGTCCTCAGAATTGATTCCAGCCCGATACGCCTTCCCAGAGTACACTGGCGTGAGTTTAATTTGACCTGACTCGTCCGACAACCTAGTGGAATGAAACAAGTTTTTTTACATTTTTTAGCCTGTCACGCATGCTGAAAGACTATTTACACAGTCCAAAATACAATAAGCTTTGCGGTCAATTAAATATTTTTGTTGGGAAGTCAATTTGGCAAACATGTGTTTTCAGCAAATCATCATCAGGCCAGAACCCTGCAAATGTTCTGGCCTGATGATGATTTGCTGAAAACATATGTTTGCCAAATTGACTTCTCAACTTAAGAATGGGAATATTTGCAAATACTTTTGTGTTTGCAAGATAGTTGTCCACTTCTGCACCCAGAATGTTGGTTCTCTGTGGCTTTTCATACCTGAGGAGCTAGATTTGGAGGGGTTTTCTTTCATATACTCTAGGATTACGAAGACATATCTGTCCGCCTGAATATATTTTATTGATATTTTAGAAATACAACGTTTATGGGACGCAAATAGCCGTTCTTGGCGGCAAGCTTTACTAATGAGCAAACTTGATACTAACGAATAATATCCCCTAAATGTTTACAGTTTCCTGATGAGGACGTTTATGCGGCCTCATTTGCTCCCTCCATTCTTTTGTTTCCATTAAAACTTAAAAATCGTGGAGCCTTCCCTTTTTCTTAAATCTGCGTTTGATCTCTACAAATTGCAAATAGGAGCCACGTACTACCGATTATTTTTCAGTAAGAACGAGAACTGCATTTTATTGATAGTAACAGAAATGAGAAGGTGCGATAAACTTATGCCTCACATATTCTCATCGGATGTATTTTTAAATTTTCCTCTACATCTTCAACTTAAATTATAATTTATATGAACGGGTGCAATTGCAAGCGTAAAACAGCGTGTGTGGCAGCCTTCGGATTGCCATGGGTGTTGTTTTATCTCTCACAAGGGTATATGTGATTTAAAGTTAGTCGTAAACAGGATCTGGATGGTAGGGAAGGCAAAGGAGAAATTACCTGTGCATTGATTTCGGAAAGGGAACCTTCTTGGGACGTTGGGGCACGTCCTCATCTGAGAGTTGTTTTGTGAACTCGTTCTGCATCATAAGAATATGCAGGTTAATCGAGAAGCATTAACGACCAGGAAAATAAAAGTTGGA